TATGAACTCTAATTAATTATAGTTAAAATATAAGTAGGTTACATCACTTTGTCAACAACAAATAAAACAGAAAATCAATCTCTGACCAACTTTTACTATGTAACCAACCCTGAAATCGTGAAAAAATATTTACTGTTTCATACATTTGTTCGAGTTAAAAAACATAAATGTATAGAACAGCTGTTTTTCTTTCGCGTATTCGAAATGGGAAAAAAACATGGTGTAAGTGTAAGCTAAGAGATAATTTTATTATTTAATTTGATTTGCCTTGAGAATTGATTTTACTCATGAAAATGAACAAATTTTACTGAGGAACCTACTGTCTCAGAGTAAAAAAAATACAGCTGTTTCCATCAACAGTAAAAATAAAACGGAACAAACGATTTTATTTTGCTCGAAGATATAGATAGGTTTTTTAGAAAAAAACTGTTCATATTTAAAGTAGAAATAACCTTGAAAGTAGGTTGGTGTCATGTTTTCTAGACCCTGTAAATGTAAATGCAATATTTTTATCAATAAAAATGGCTGTCAAGATTAAAATATCTATAAGATTTATTAATTTTTTTATGACCCATTTCCAATATTTGTAACTATGGTTCATAAAAGATAGCTTGATCTCTGTTTCTGAAATTCAGGAATTCATAGGCGTGATTTTACTGACAGCTGTCGCAGAGATCAAGCTATCTTTTATGAACTATAAGTGCAGTTAGAACACAGAAATCTTAATAATAAGACAATAGAAATGTCTTCTACTGTCTTTTAATATCTGGACGCGTGTCGCCAGGTCGTAGCTCTCACACATAGACAAACAATAAATACACAATTACGCCTACAAATATCTCTAACTTTCATGCAACAAAGATTAATCTATAAACTATTGCGAAGGAATATTTTATAAAAACGCAATCGGAGGAGGCGTAGCCACTCGGTCCTATAATTAAAGTGTGCGAAAAACAGAGAATGACATTGCGCGCTCGGTCTCACTTGGGCATAGTGCAGCCCAAAGCACGTTTCGATAACTGTCTATTAAGCGTCGTTGATCTTCCAGGAGTCTCACACCCAGATATAACTAATTAACTGAAATTGTCTCAGTAATAGACGCTTTTAGTCTTAGCTTTAGCTTTTAGACGTTTTATAATTAGAATAAAAGGGGAAATAATAATACGAATAAATATATCCATTTATCTTTAATAACCGGATCTTTTGGAAACTTGTAATAAAAGCATTGTATTAAATAAACAGATGTATAAATAAAATGAATACAACATTACACAAACAGCAAACGAATAAATATATCGCACAGTGAGAATGAAAGTGACCGATCTCAAAATTTCTGCGAATTGAGTTAAACACTTGAAACTACTCCTAATAAAATGGTCTATCGTCTAGTGAATCAATAAGTGACCATTTCGTACCAGAAAAGGACAAACATAAACATTGCGTCTCTTTCTGTTTCGCACGTCTCAGCCCTCCCACCGCAACGACAGTAACCGATTCAGTGTTTAGTAGACCTAAACCTCAGTGCGCCAATACTCTACGCAAACGTAATTACACATTTTGTTAAAATTCTAATCGAACAGTGACCAATGTTTGTATTAGGTCATTTTTGTACTATAAATAAAGCTATGTGTGGTGACTCAAGTCTAGTTTGGTCATTTTATTATAAAAAATTATGCTAAATGCAATGAATTATTTTTAAATAAGTCTTTTTTCTATTAAATATTTTATCCGTGTAATGTACTAGGTATTTGTAGTAAGGTCACTTTATGAATAATTCATTGAAACAATGCTGAGCCTTAATAAGTGTTATGCCACTTTATCGTACGTTATGTGTGTGTATATTTCTGCTTAGGTCGTTTTATGAAAACAAGAAGATGAAACGAAGAGTTGATTACATTTTTCAAATGCTACCATCGGACCGAAGAAACGAGGTACTTATAGTAATTTTAAGTTATAATTAGTAGTTCAGTTCTTCTTATTTATTTTATGGATTTTGAAAATACCTATGCAATTTTTTATATGTACGTACCATTCATAACTTATTTCTTTACAGCAAATTCGCAGCAAAATAAATATTATGAATTACAAATTACTCAAACTAATCGGCTAACCGACATTGAGATTAAGGTATTATTTAAATATTAAATACTTAAAAATAGTGCAATAAAATCTCCACGAGTCTATAGTCTTGATTAAAAAACCGTTTTTTTTTTCTTTCTTTCTAGAATCTTCAATCAGATGAGTTTATCTTTTATTGAAAACACATCGGAAAAAGAAATAAAGAATACACAAACACTTAATAACAACCCAACAGAGGTCAGTTTATGAAACTATTGTAAACTCGATTTTTATTTTAAGCTATTATTATAATATAACTTTCGTAATTTATATTTTTCTGTAACTCCTAGTTGCCGAAGATGGGCTACAATGAGAGAATGCTGATCAAGCTTCTAATAGTCTAAAGCTTCTTAACTGTTCTGAAAATTTGACTGAGGTAGTATATAGGATCATTTAATGTTAATCTAACTGGTATTTAAGCGCGAAAAACAAATAATAAGTCGAATTTTGTCGTTTAGGTAACAGTTACGCAACCTGCTATAAGAAATATTGGAGAAGAACCATCAACATCATTTCCACGAAAACATGAACTTCCAAAAATCGAGCACCTCTTCATCCACTTATTCTTCTCATCAGTTCCACTTCTCACTGTACTTCATCGAGTTCGACGTCAAAGATACAGCACAAGAATAATAGTTTTTCAGTTTCACGTGTTCGAAGTAATCCAAATTATCAAATATCGCCAGTAAATACTGATGAAAGCGACGTTGACTTAAGTGACTCTGATCCAACTTATTTGAATAATATCGGGCCAAAATATATTTCCTCATCAAGCAGATCTTGCCATCACGGCGTGCACCATCTCCGTCATCTTCATATCCTAGATCTGATCTGAATACGGGCAATAATAATTCGAGCGAAAATAATCCCGCAAGATCTAGGAAACGTTTGAGAAACCCATCTGATTGGAAACAACAAAACCAAATCCCTCAGAAATAGTGGAAAACCGTATGTTTCCTTGTCAAAATCTAAAAAACTTATTCCCGCTCGTCAGATTAAGGAGGTGTGTAATTGTAAGTTGAAATATTTTGATAAGATGCAGGATACAGATAGAATCAATTTGTTTAATAATATCTGGCGTATGAATAATATTGAATTGCAACGTGCATATATTCGATCGTGTATGCTTGAAGTTAAACCCAAGTACAAATATTCTAATGCTCAAAAGCCTAGACAACCTAATAACGCCTTTTACTTTACGATAAATAAAAATAAAATACGACTGTGTAAGATCTTTTTCATCAATACCTTAGACGTAACAGATAGACAACTAAGAACAGTCAAGAAGAAAACAAATAATGAGGGTTTTGTAGATTCAGACATGCGAGGAAAACATACAAACAGAAAAATTATTGAACCGGCCCTTGTACAAGACATAAAAGATCACATCAATTCGATTCCCAGAATCAAATCCCATTATTTACGAGCACAGACTAGTAGAGAGTATATTTCTAACAGCAAAACTATAACAGACCTTTGGAGGGACTTTAATTTACTTCAAAAGGAAAAAAAAATAAACCGGAATGTGAATACTGGTTATATCTTAACACATTTAATAAAGATTTTAACATTGGATTTCATCAACCAATGAAAGATAGGCGTGAAACTTGTGTAGTTTATGAGCTTGCCCCTGCAGACATAAAAATTGAAGTAAAAACTAACCACGATAAGCATCTTATTGAAAAAAATAAGTGTCGTGAAGAAAAACAGAGAGATCGCGAGAATATAGACCAAACACATATTTGTGCTGTATACGATTTACAGTCTGTAATGTTCTGTCCAAATCCATCCTACGGTGCACTGGGGTAATTCCGAAAAAGGGTATATTCCGCAAGTTCAAAGATTCTACTAATCGTAGCGACATTTTCCTATTGGCAACATAGGTTTAGACGCCATCTTGATTATCCTCGCTGCATCAAGTTTTGTCAAAAGAGTGTTTTTCGCGCCATTTTTGTTGATTCGCAATAACCCCAACATATTTATCTCGGAATTCTGGTAAGTTATTTCAATAAGTGCTTGTTTTTACGATACGTTGTAGTTTTTAGCGAATTCGTGAGAGGAAAACAACGTACTAGCTGTGTTTTCAATATTTTTTCGTACATACCCCTCTGGGGTGATTCCGATGTATAACCATTCCGCAATAAACCCACTTAGTTTTCTCATAGAAATTAACAGTGATTCTCAATCTGTACGATCAGATGATTTGCATGACATTACATGAAGTATGCAAAATTTTATTATTATTTCGAAGTTTGTTGGAAAACTTGGGTTTATTGTAGATAATGATTCTATATTACTAATCATTACTTATTAACCGACCTCAAAAAGAAGGAGGGTTTTCTAATTCGACTGTATATCTGTTTTGTGTGTATTTTACACGATTTCTTCGGCGATTATGAACCGATTTTAATTATTCCTTTTTTATTTGGTAGAGGAAACGGACGTTGTTCCATATTTTAATAATTTTGGTTGAATTGTTTTTAAAAATAACTGCAACAAATGGGTTAATAAGCTTCAATAAACGACATTTAATTTACTTCGCCTATGTATTAATTAACAGCAAAAAATGGTATGTGTAAGTCACTCCAAATAGAAAAATAAAAAAATTAATACCGTCTTCAAAAAGAACACAATAATGTGTGTGAGGCAGTTTCGAAATTCGGTACCCAATAAACCAAATCAAAGAATCAACTTCCAGCATCTACTTCCTAAACTGTTTCACACATATTGCGTTGCGTTTTGAAGGCGGTTTTAACTTATTTTAAAGTTTCTGTTTTAAATAACATTGTAATTTAAAATTAATGTATTCCCAATCCTTCGGGAAATACAGGTGTGACGTATATGTTAAGTAAGTAGGAACTTATTTCTTTTTCAGAGCCATTATGCCTCGGACTTACATAAGAAAGAAAATTAAATCATACACTCCACAAGATTTAGCTCAAGCGATCGCAAAGGTAAAAAATGGAGAACTTACGCAATATAGAGCAGCGCAAGAGTACAAAATTCCAATGACGACTCTTCATGAAAACTTAAAAAAAGGTAAAGAAACTACCAGACCAAATGCAGGCAGACCAACCGTTATACGCCTAGAAGATGAGAAAAAATTAGCAGAAACTGTCAGAATTATGAAAAAATGGGGATATGATCTGTCTAGGTTTGAAATTATGGAGCTTGTCGCTGAATATGTGCGGGTGAATAAGATTCAAACACCATTTAAAAATAGTGTCCCAGGCACAGACTGGTTTACTAATTTCCGGAAACGACATAGATTATCAATTAAAAAAGCACAGCCTGTAGAATTTGTAAGAAGAAAAATGACAGATCCATTCGTCATAGGTGAATATTTCAATTTGCTCGAAAATACTTTAAAAGATTTGGATCTTTTTGAAAGTCCCCAACTCATTTGGAACTTAGATGAAACGTCGTTATGCTTGGATCCATCCAGAACTAAAGTATGTTGACAAATAAATAAACCTTGTGTGAGGTCCACCCATGGGAGTGGAAAAGAAAATATAACTATGTTGACAGGCGCAAGCGCTAATGGCAAGAAGTTGTCGCCTTTGATTGTATTTAAAGGCAAATTTGTTTGGGATCAGTGGATGGCTGAACTGGTTGGTGGTGATTACGATTTCGAATTATCGTATGCAGCCAGTACAAAAGGGTGGATGGAAACAGACGTTTTCTATAATTATATAGAAAAAGTTCTTATCCCAAGTCTGGGCGAGGAGCGCCCGGTTCTTATAGTTTATGATGGTCACTCAACTCACGTCCATGTAAGAGTTGTGGAACTAGCAATACGAAACCGTATCACAATTCTTAAATTACCGCCACAAACATCACATTTGCAGCAGCCTATTGATATAGCAGTATTCAAGTCAATATGGGATGCCAAACTGGTAGAGTAGCAGCGTAGAAATGTTGGCACGAAAATGCCAAAAAAAGTTTTCGCTCAAGCGCTGGCAGATACTTGGAGAGAAACAAACCCCAATATTATCAAAAGTGGATTTAGAAAAGCTGGGATTTTCCCTTTTGATGCGCACGTGATACCTGTGGACAAGTATGATCCAGATGCATATAAAAGGTACCAAAAAAAGACATTAGAAGAACATTTTGCTTCCACACAATCGACACCAAAAAACCCGAAGTCACTAAAAGAAATTTGTAATAGCTTGTTTAACAATCAACTTGCAACAACAAATGATGCTCTTGAAAATGCAAATACCGATGACGTTACCTTGCTGTCGCAAATTTCAAAGTCCAGTATCCAAACTTTGAGTTTTGTGGCCAGACAGCCAACCCAACTACCTGCATGTTTACAGAAATCGTCAAACACTGATAAGGATACCTTGTTGTCTCTGGTATCGAAACCTGATATCCAGACTTTGAGTTTTGTCGCAAAACAACCATCCCAAATACCTATATGTTTACAGAATTCTAATCAAACATCAACTCAAAATTTATCAAAAATAAAAATAATCTCGAACGTTATCATCAAAAAAGCACCTCCACAGTTACTTCAAGCTCAACGACTACCCGAGCCATCATGCACATTCGAATAACTGCTTTTAAGAAATAATAAAAATAAAAAAATACAACAGGACAAAAAAGATAATAAACCGACAAAAAAGAAACGTGTCACTAAAGGTGCTGAAGTGATAACAGCAACAATGGGTAAGAAAATTTTAGAAGAAACGATAAAAGCTAAGAAAGCGAAAGCAAACCCCAGTAAAATTTACAAAAAAAGAACAGCAAGAGTAAAAAATAAGGAAGATTCTGAAATAACAATATTTACAGCACAGCAACAAGAACATCATCCAGGCCCTTCAGGCATAAGAAATAAGAAGAAACGAAAACGCCAGCTTTCACTTGACAGCATAACTAGTGTATCCGACATTATGAGCGAACATAGTGCTTCTGATACTATTGAATGTGTTGATTTTGAATAATTGACGGATGAATACTCTGAAAATGATTTTCTCACTAACAAGAATTTAAATCCTCTCTGTATTAAGGGTAAAGGTGTAGGCAAAAGAAGTAAAGGGAAAGAAAACAAAGTCGAAGAAAAAGTCGAAGAAAATAAAGAGGAAAGACTCATTGAAATAAATTACTTTAAAGAAAAAAATATGACAACTAGAGAATTCTCGAAAGAAAAGGACAAAGATGAGCAACTGCTACTTAAACAGGAAAGTAAAGAAATAATATGCGAGACTCAAGAAGAGAACCTTGCTATGAAGGAAAATTACCAACTAAATGATTCCGTACTCGTCAGATATTTGATCAGGAATAAATGGAAGTATTTTGTGAGGTTCATAAAAAATATAATAAAAAAATGAAGAAATATACTTCACTATCAATTTTCTAAAAACCGTGAGACCACAGCAGCGCCTTACCTTTATAACGACTAAGAGAAAGGATATTGATAAAGTTCCAAAGTCATTAATAGTGAAGAAGATAGATTTAAAAAAAATATAACGAAAAAGAATATTACTTACTTAATTATGAAGATACAATTTACTTTGACTGATTATGTAACAGTGATTTTATATCATTATTATATAGATGCGATGTTTTTACAATGTCCTAACGAATTTTGTTATATTTAAAAAAAATTAAAGCATTTTATAATTTTAGTTTTGCTAGCAGCAAAGTTTTTTTTATTTGATAAGGTTAGTACTTAGGTACTTTATACCAAAAGAAAATGAAATTGGTGGTTGTGACCGTAAGTTCCTACTTTGAACATTTTTAAGGATGATTGATTTAAGTGTAAGACAATAATATATGTAGAAAGTTTATTTTATTTTGCAAAAAGCACTGAATAAAAGGTATCTTTATAAAAATCTCAGCATTAACCCCTGCTAAAAGCAACATGTTTGTCTCTTTGGTAATGTACAAATTTTTAATAATCCGCAGTCATTTTATTCATTTATATCGGAATTAAAATAATAATATTAATTTATAATAATAATTTAGATTATTAAAACATAAGAACATTATTAAATTATGTAATCATTTATACTACTTGTTCTATTCCGCGCAGAGATCTGTCAGAACTATCAATTATTGGGTGCGTTTGGCAGAAAAAAGCGCTAGCAAGCGCTTACAAGCGCTAAAATAGTTTTCGGCCAGGACACGATTGCTACTTCAGTAGCGCCGACACAATTCGCCATTTTGCTTATTTAATTTGTTTGTTTTGAAGTAGAGTTTATAAGTTGTTTTGTGCAATATTAGTTTTAAGTAATATAATGAGATAAATAAACATATACATGTTATTAAAAATTCATGATTGTTAAGTTTTTAATATGAATACTTTACAAACATATATTTAAATTAGGTTAGATTCTCCGGTTAAAACTAACATCGTGTCCTGGAGGAAAATAGCTACTTACGATTTGACAGCGCTTACCGCTTACGATCGCCATTTTGCTTACAAGCGCTTGCTAGCGCTTTTTTCTGCCAAACGCACCCATTGTCAATTCACTTCTACGGCAACTTCGATGACAACTGTGACATTTTTTCTCGTTTGTCACCAGTGGAAATAAAATTACTGGCAATAAACAGGGTGACAATTACTGAGAATAAACAAAAAAACTTATTTGACATGTTGAGAACCACAACACAATCCCTTAAGTACTAAAATTCATGATATTTTGTGTAAGGGTTAAATACGATTGAAAAAGAAATGTAAACCTTCGGTCAAAGTACAATAAAATAAACTTTTGAATAATTTTGGAATAACCCCAAGATAGTTCGTAATTTCCCCTATACCAAAAAATTACAACTCAACAATTCAAAATGCTCTATTTAATGAATCCAAATACGTAGTTATGTCCCCCCTTTTTTTTTTCCCAAAAAAACAAAAAAAAAAAAAGGCCAAAAAAAAAAAGAAAAAAAAAAAAAAAAAAGATCAGGTCCCATTTATGTACCCTGTCAATAAAAAGTGCTCGAAAAACTGGTAAACCTTTCATTGTCAAGGAACTCGATTACACTTTTTTTCATATTAAAGCTTTGCAAGACCAATGGGGATACAATTTTAATGAAGACACTGACAAAGTTACAGTAGTATGGAATGACATTAAAATGCTAAGTTTTAGGAAAGGAAACGAGTTTTAAATGCACTTTAAAACTTCTTATTTAGAGACAGATTATAGAATAATTGATATGCGTAACAAAAGGAAGAATATGAAAAGCTACGACGAAATAAGATTAGATAAATTATTTGAGCAAGCGCTCAAATTAAAAGAACATAAGAAAAAAGATCTGAAAGACGCGAAAAAATTTAATTCCAATGTATTATACAAATTATTACAATAATCTGTAATATAATTTCATAGAGCAAATAAATATTGATTCTTCTTTAATAACTAATGTTGGAACTTATTCGACGATTATATTTACCCTTTATGATTTTTAAATACTTTCGATTAAATGATAAGAGACTTTCAGTAATCCACTGCGTTTTTTGAGCGCAAGATAAGTACTCTGAAAAACAGTGAATTACTGAAAGGCGTTGAGGACTGATACGGATATGTACCTAACAACTAGTAAAGTATTAAGTAAGTTAAAATATTATGATTATTTAGGACAGAATAGAAAGAATAATATTAACATTTCATTCTTAATTCAAAGTGATTCAATTTGTTCAAATAAATACCAAATATTATGTTTAATTATAGAAATATAAGGTTTTGAAAGTTAAGTTTCGTATGTCAATTTTTCTCGTCTATTTTTATGCATTGATGTCAAGTTTTACCTATATTTCAGTAATAAATGTCATTTCATTCTTAACATTTTTTGTCTTATTGGCCAATTTTTCATCAATCTTACAGAACCAAATAGACTTAATTTTAATTAAGTTGTAAAAAGTCCTTTAATTTTAAAAATTAAGCTGCCCTATATCTGAATAAGTCAATGATATTTAAAAAAAATATAGTACAAAAATGACACATTTTCGGAAGGTTTTTTTTTTTTAAATAGTGCTTAAACATTAATAAACACCTTTTTTTACTGTATTTTGGGTAATACTAATTGAAAATAGTCAAAAAATACATTGGCAGCATAAATATGTAAATAACTTTCCATTTGAAAAAGTTATGACATATATTGAAAACTCCATATAATACGAACACGTTTCTTTGATTTCCCACAAAATACAAATTTCTAGTTAGGTCCCTTTTATTCTCACTGTGCAATATGTATGGGCGACATATTTAGCATTTTTTATTAGTTTTAAAAATCTTTAACTGACTTACTGTTGTTTGCTACTTTTCAGTTTCCCGGCTTCTTACAGATCGAATTAAGACTACTATCCTTACAATATATTTATTTATCCTTACAATATAACTGATTAAAAATTTATCATGTAATTTAAAAGTACAAACAAACAGATAATCGCCGATAAACGGATAACAGTATAAAATATTTAGAAAGAAAAAACCAGAAAGGTGTAAATAAATATTTAACGAAAAATCACATTTAATTCCCGTTTCTTTAAAACTAGGTAAGCCAAACACAATAAACTATCGATACAAAATAGTTGTGTCACGTAACTGACTTGCGCTCGACTCCAACGGCCGTATTCTAAGAAATTTTACGTACGCAACAACTTTATTGCCCATACTACAAATCCATCGCTGATTTTAGCTGTCGCACTCATAGATATGAACTAGCTTAGGAATCAATGGATATTGAAATGTGAAAACAATTAAAATTTCGAAGACAATTGTAGTACTGGAGATGGATAATTTTATTTAAGTATTAAAACACTAAGTACTTATTTATGAAATGTTATCCCTTTATTTGAAAATATGCAAGTTGTGGAGGAATTTCCGCAGTTGGATATGCATCAAAACACTATTTTTACGTCTCTGCGTCCGAAACAGTACTGGTGACCAAAACAAATGCTCCTCTCGCGCTTGTGGCCTACGAGTCACATGTGCGGCGACAAGGTCACGCGCTTTTACGACTTCTATTTATGTTTAGATTTCTGTGAGTTAGAATCAACTTTGAAAAATAAATAAATATAAGTAATATGATATTTATCTTGGTATAATTATTAGGTAATATGTTGTACTTGTAAATCTCAACTCGCAAGCGGTTGATATTTGTTATTTGCAAATGTGCATTCTGTTTACAACGTTGCCAGTTCGCTTCTGGAGCGCGTAGGGTGCGGGAAATTCCCCGTCTGTCTGAACTATCTAGTATATCAATTAGATCCCAGGCTTCAACCATCTCGTAAGTAGGGCAGATTCACGCGCTTTTGAATATGAATAGGTTTGGCAATGTCGCGTATTTATAATTATAATGTTAACTTGCCTGTCACAATTTCGTTCTGTTACTCTTAAAATGTTGAACTAAATATTGAAAACGATAGGCTTGCTGAAGTAACGATACCATTATAACCATATAATTCTATTAACATTGGATTTCATAAATTGTTTTAAGAAATCTAATATCAAAAACTTAATTGGCATAATTCGTAATCAACATGTTGTTGTGAAATTATGGCTACTTGCAAATATTATGTTGAAGGGTTATCTAATATCAAAAACTTAGGGCAATTTGGGATCAAAGAAAATTATAAAATGGAGTTTTGAGTGACTCAAACCTGGCATCCACATACAGAATACAGAGAATACTTAGGTAGTTAGGTATGTAATAAAAAAGGAGGAGAATTTTGTTTTATGAGGTGTTAGAACTTAAGTGGTGTGCAATTATATAATTTATAGTAGCTATATTATATTTTCATTAATTTAGTTAACATTCAAATATAAAATATTTAAAAATAAAACATAAAAAAACTAGACTTAAATTATCATGCAGTCCTAATCCCCTTGGTATAGTGCCAAGAACATTGGCTGCATTTCCTCACTGAATAGCTATACTTAACCTATGAGGAAGAAAAAAATCAGTGCTCATATCACAGTTGCTATTCAAAATGATACTATGT